TCCACCTAGGGGGGGTCTTTTCCCCCCCCCCCCCTCCTTCCCCCCCCCCCCCCCCCCCCCCAACCCGCCCACCCAACCACCCATCTTCTTTCCACATATACTCTTGCACACAAAACTCTACACCGCCGCCTCATCAGAGCGGCTCGGCTCCCCCCCCATCCCCATCCCGCCCCCAAAGTGCCAGCCTCTTTCCACTGCTCAATTGCAGAGAGGAATGAAGGGATTTGAGGGAAGAAAGAGGGAAAAGGGGGGGATGGGTGGCTAGAGAGGCAAAAGGGATTGGGAGTATGCACGGGGATCTTGTTGCAGCTTCGTCCCGGTGAAATATTTTGCCGTGGAGAAAGCGTAGAGGAGGAAGGAGAGAGAGAGAAATGCTACACTGCTGCGGCATCTAGATAGCGAGACCCCCAGACCCCCACCAAGCCCTCCATGCCACTCTCACAATAGGAGCTTTATGCAGTGGGCCTTTTGGGTTGTCCCCACAGCCTTTGAAGATAGTGGGGGGGGGCGAGGGGGAAGCACAACACGATAACGCCAGTATATATAATTTACCCCCTTGTGCAAACATCCAGGAAGGGGGCATGTTATGTACGCTTGCATTATAATGAGTGTGTGCGTCCGTCTTCTGCAACACGACAGAAACTTTTTTTTTTTTTTTTTTTTCCGCCCTTTGGGGAAAACCTCAGCAAAGATGTAACTTTTGGCAACCAAAACATCCCCTTTGCCCAAATACATCCAAATACTTCTGCGGGGAAAAAAAAAATGCAGGTGACTCACCTGTGTAGTCTCTTGGCATAATGTGGGGCGGACTGGGAAGGAGGGGGGCTGCAGTTTCAGTGTAAGACAGAGCTGAGTCTGTTGTGTTTACAAAAAAAAAAAAAAAACACAAAAGAAACATGAGATCCAGATTATTTTTCTTTCCTGTAACATTTTTTAAGAGGAAAAAAGTGCCAGGAGGTAAACGCTCTCCTGGAAATAGTTTTTTTTTTTTTGTCTGCAGTGACAAAAATAAATTAAGAAACAATGCAGGTAAAATATCACCGATTGCCAAACGTTGATCTAAGTTACGCATTTTAAGTTCAGCCCTCTGGGATTGCGCCGAGAGTTTCCCAGAGAGCAAACTATTCTTGCTCAAACCGTCTCTCCTCTTAATAACTGGGTGTCACTTTCAACGGCGGCAGCTTTTCAACAATAATCCATGTTTCCACACTACAAATACGGCGGTGACAACACGTTGCTGCTAGTTCACCAGTTTGCTGTGTGGTAGGCCATTTTCACCAAACTTACCCAGTAGCTTGTGTTCATCTGAACGGGACTGAGAATATGGAGGAGGAGGTGATTCTGAAAACACAGCAAAAAATGGAGTTATGGCACACAGACACTGTAAAATAGAAGTCAAAATGTATTCATTTACAGTGAAGACAAGGTCAGCACTGTAGCTACCCAACCATTTGAAACTGTGCTTAACTTGAATTTTTAGAGGTACTTAAAGGAAATTTCGGTTCAATTATTTGCATAGCTGAAGCAAAGAAGTGAACTGTGAAGAACAGCTAATGAGCACTAGCATGAAAAAACATGAGCAATTCAAGCACACTGATCTTTCCCTGAAGCAAACTATTCAAAAAGAGAAATATATGAGGGAAACTTAGTAAAACTCCCAGCACAAACTGAAGTGAACCAGATTCAACAGAGAAAATACACTTCTGAACGTGGATCTGGGGATGACTGCTTCTAGACGAATAATCTTAGCAACCAAGCTAACAGCTGTTAGCAATGTAAGTTAATAACAACATACATCTCTGCTTTAAGTTCCTCAAAGCACTACAGCAACATGTTCACTAGATATAGTATAGTGCTGTTTGTGTGAAAGGTTTTTTTTTAAGATATAACAACTATTTACTGCAGCTTTTACTGAGCTTTATCCGAAAGGCGGCCATATTAGATTTTCTTGTTGTGCTTGGTGAAAAGCCATACTTTCACACTCTCTATCGCAGCTTTTAGAGACTTTTGTCCCAACTTCAAACATTACAGTATCAACAGCTGAGATACTGAGAGCAAAACTGAAACACACAAATAAACAATATCCTCCAACAAATCAAGAAGAACCAACAGCTAGGATTTTGTTTTTCTCGCTTCTTCTTCGTTTTTGTTGTGTTTTCATGATACGCCACAGCAAACTGAAAAATCCAACATTTTAAAGGCTGCAGGTCGATTTGCCCCTTTGCCGATTCACATCCTTACTACATTCCTACTTACTTACTTGCATCTCTTTCTACTTCCATACGTGTAAAGAATGTTTATGGCCCATACTTAAACCAAGGCAGAGGAGCGTTGTTTTTTTTTTTTTGGTCCATGAATAATGGATGAATTGCCATAAAATGTTCAAATCTCATCAATAATTAAATTTGTTTGTATATGATTATTGCATATTGCAATTGTATTACATTCGATTCCAACTTATTAGGGTTCAAACTACCATTTAGGCCCATGTCGACCCTCGTGAAACGCTGGTAGGTACGACTTACTGGAATCATATGACCGCACTTCCTAACAGCAGGCTAAGATCACAGTATAGAAAATGACTTTAAATGATCTATTGTGCAAAACAACCAGAACTGCAAAGGAACCGTCACCGGCTTACACGTCTCCGTCAAGATTGTGGTACTTGAAAATGACTAAGGTGGCATACTTTAAAAGCAAACGTCCTAAAACTGATCTTTACTTTCGATTGTTCAACACGAAGAATCTCTCAATAAGTTTGATTTTACCAGCCAGCTGAGTTTTATATCTTCAACCCTATATGCTAAAAGCAAGTCTTTCATATTCTTTTTTTTTTCATATTAAAAATCAAAATATTCCATATGTCTTATTGCTTTTAATCAGACATGATTAGTCGCCTGTAGTGCTGTGCTTTCCCTGCATTTATCTCTTTTACTACAGCACAGCTAACATTTTTATATCATTCAGACTCTCTCAAAGGAAGCTCGGAAATCATAAGTAACATAGCTGCTGTTGCTGGGAGAGTCCCTTCAGCACAAAGTGGACCTGGGTTTGTGGCTGCGGCCCCTTTAAGAGCAGAGCCAGTAATTGCTGGAGTCCTCAGTCTGTCAGATACCCAGCGAGTCAGTCTGGCGCCAGGGCTATGCAAACTGTATATTATCGGCACTCCTTCACCTAAATAACAAGAGGAGGACCTCCTTGTCAAAGCAAAAAGAGCCGAAGTGCAACCTGAGAGCGAGCGCTGGGACTGTGTAGGAAGGAGGCAAAGTTTTTCAAATAAAAAAAAAAGGAAAGGAAAAAGAAAGTCGTTTATAAATGTGTTTGGGATGTCCAGAGGAGCCCAAGTAAAAACTGAGAGATTAAACGTTTGGGTTTTTTTTTAATTACACGAAACGCAATAAAACATGAGAGAAAGTGTAACTTCTGACTTTTTTCTCCATAAAAAAATCAACAACATGATTGGATTAAACCCTTTAGAAATATTTGCTGGCAATAACTCGATTATTATTATTTTTCCCTCTTGACTGACACTTCAAACAATAACTCCTGCAGGCCGCAGGCAAACAAAGCTCACTTGTTGGAAATACCCATTTAATTCATGCAATCGTTTATACTCTGAGTCATCATCAGTCTTCAAGTGGATTAAAGTATAATTAAATTTGTGAAACCCCTTTCACGATCAACTTTTTTTTTTTTTTTTTACCAGGACCTCCACCTAAAATTGGACCTGCAGGAGGACTCACGGATACCTCTCTGATCCGTGATGCCTGAATATGTTTGCTGCTGTTTGATCATTTGCAATCCGTCTGTTTGATCCACTTAGGGCCCCCCCACCACGTAAATACACCTCCCCCAGTTTTGTTGTCCTCCTCACCTGGCCCGCACAGCCGGCTGTAGTGATAGGGGTTGCAGCACACCTTTGCGCTGTCTCCGGAGCCGAAGCTCTGGCAGTGGCACAGCGCCTTGAGTCGGGCTGACAGCGGCAGGTCGCTCCAGCGAAACAGCCGACACAACAGATACTGGGGGGAGACGTGGTGACCGCCGAGCCGCAGATCGGTTCTCGGCACGGTGACGCACTCGCCTGGCACCCCTCCTTTGGTCTCCACAGCCTTCACCAGAGCATCAAGAGATCTGTCTTTGAGTCTTTTCAAAAAAGCGTGAGCGGTACTCGCTAAGTCCTCCTCGAGCCCGGTGCGCCTGGGTGCGCACTGGCAAGGGGCCCCCGCGTCTTTCCTCAGGGCCCAGTAGGAGCTCCGTGGTCTAAGATCCCACTCCCCAAACAAACAGCACGTCACAGTTCTCCCGTCGCCCTCCTGCTCCGGCAAGGAGCTCCTGCGTCCCGCGACGCACATGACACCCCGGTCGTCGTCGGATTGCTCCTCTTCGTCCCTCTCAATGGTCTCCGTCATGTCTCCAGCCTCTGCGGAGAGTCCCGGCACAGCGTCACTGCGTGTCACCGACCTCTGCTCGTGTCTGTGGAGCCTTCCCGAGTGACCGTGCCGTGCCGCCTCGCCTCGTCTGCCTCCATCCCGCCCGTCGCTCTCGGTGACCAGACGGCTTCTCCAGAGTCGCCGAACAAGACCGGAGCGTTTCGACTTGAACATACGACAAACCTAGACAGTTTTGGATGAGTCCCGTCGGTCCCGTCCGCCTCTCTGGGGATGCCGCATCGATTTACGTTTGTTTCCAAAGACGGGGAGTTTGAGCACGGTGCGCACCACATGCGCAGCCGGTGGTCGCGGTTTCCCTGCTCGCCTGCAGCATCCGAAAGTTCAACTCAGACGCTGAACATCATCGGCTTTCCGAAGAAGGCTTGCACACAGTCACTGCCCAGTGAACTGCTGTCGCCGACTCAAATAAGCCAAAACTTTCGCCAGCCGCCCGACAAAACCTTCAACTCTCCAACTCTCGGGTGATCTAGCGCACAGTCCGCAAAACATAGTCAGACAGCATCAGTTTACATCAGTAACAAACACCTTCAGAAGCAAGCACCCAAAGTTTTCTAGAGTTTTGCATTGAGTTGCAAATAATAATAATAATAAAAGCTCTCCTCCTTCACTCCTTAAATAAATCCTCACAGCCCTGGAAATCCCGTTCCTATAAGTCGCCGGACGCCGCAACTTTTTTGCCACTGTCCCGGGATACAGCAGAGACGTCCGGGCGCTCCGGTGCCAAACTACCGGACGGGTTCCGTGCAGAGAAGTTGTTTCTAAGAGAGCTGGAATTACTCCACTCTCCACTCCCATGCAAGTCTTTTTCGGACGTAAACTCATGCACACACACAAACACACGCACGCACACAAGCAAGGACACACACACACACACAAACACACACGCTCAGGCACACGCAAACATGCTGCTGCGCACAGCCAGTAATCAAGCCAGACGGAATGAAGGCAAGTTCTCTCGATTTTATTTTCAAAGTAAAGCGGTTTAAAAATAAATTATCAAAAATATTTCGGGAGTTTTTTTTCTGCTTTCCAATAGATTTAATCCACATAATTCACTAAAACAACAAACTAAAAAAAAGAAAAATAGAGACGAGCTAGTAGAAATTTAAATGTTTCCCTTTATAATATACATTTCTCATTTCACCTTAACATTCATTCCTTGTCTCTAATATGTTCTAAGGGACAGAGTGGCCAACTTGTTGTGACAAATAGGTAGGCAAAATATATCTTGACTGATGCGTCAAGTAGATAAGTCTATATGGGCCCCATATGGGCTGTCCTGAGGGTGAAGAGTTACTAATAATTGGGCCCAGATATCCTGTGTTGGAACTAAATAACTGCCCAAAATCAGATCAGTTTGTACAAACTTTAAGTAACTATTTGGGTCAGGGTTGTTCTGTGTCAAACTTGCAAAGGCACCTAACCTGGTGATATTATAATCCACCCAATGCTTTTGTAATCACACTCGTGACTGACTTGCTGTCTAGGCTGGCATATCTTTACTCACACAGGAAGCTCTTGAGTGTGTGGATTTTTAATCCAACCAACTAACAAAAACGAGAGAGGAAAAAGAAGAATAGCATTCGTTATTGTTATAAACAAGAAAATCCCCATCCATGATTTTCAGTTCAATGTGTAATTTTTAGTTCTGAAATGTATGCTTGAGAGCTGTTCTCATGCACTCATGGTACATTTTTGCATGTATTGGCATTACGTTGTCAGTAATCTGATGTGTTTTAAAAAATAACTTACAGTAGCATTTGCCATAGGACTACAAACTGCTTATATTATGCAAACAGACATATTGAAGTCATATGGGGATAACTGAGAAGCCAGTTCAATTTCTCGGTGGGATATTTTTTATTTTTTTAAATCGTTGTCTAAATGAAGTATGAAGGAATACAGAGAAGAGTAGGACTCAGAGTAGAGGTAACCCTTGGAAATAGAATTTGAGCTTGATTTTTAGGTTACGACTCGTCCTTTTCACATTGAGCTACAAATTAATAATAAGGTCTTACTACAAGCAGAGACAGACAATGAAAAAATGTAGCACTCTAATTAGTTTACCACCGTCATACACAATTGCAATTTGTCCTGACAATTGCTTCCTAAAAGTCACGTGTTAAGCATAAACATTTGGAGATCAATCATTTTCAATTTCCTTCTGAGGTGTAGCGATAAAACGCAAACATCGTGCTTTTACTTTGAAACTCCAACCACCGTGACTTCCGTGTGTCTCTGTCTGCTTTGACTCTCTCTCTCTCTCTCTCCGTGTCTCTCTCTCCGGGCCCCAGAGGAAAGCTCTGGAGCCATTGGTTGATTCCCGCCATCATGTGCCAGTCTAGACACTTTGGCGGCTCGGAGCTGCTCTGATTGTTGCGCAAACACGGTTTCAAGTTTCTTAACTCTTAAAGACGCAACATCCCGCTCTGCTGAGCTCACCCTGGAAGTGCTCGGCAGCTAAATATCACATCAAATCCCCAGAGAGCTCAAGAAAACTGTATGCAAACGCATTTGAATAAATGCAGAAATGGCATATATTTGTATTTACACAACTGGACCCTGTTTAATAATGTGCAATTATAAACAGGAATATATA